GCTACACATTTCTTTTGGTCTAAAATAGCTGGTAATTTGTATTTAAGTAAACTACGAGCTCCGTTTGTGATAGGAGCCCCATGTGACTGCACAGGAGCGGGTCCATCGTCCCTTTGAAAAGCAGAGGCACTGATCACTGGGGCTGGTGGGGGTCTGGGCAGGCAAGTCCACGCTGACAGCTTGTTTGCTTCAGAGCATGATGTTCAGACGTTCCGTGGTCTTAACTCCCTGCGTTGCCTCAAATGCTGGGAGAAAGTGAAATTCACCAAGGAACCCTCCAGCAGTATTGGTTGGTAGAAAGTATTGTTTTCATTCTGTTTGTTACACATTGCTCTTTTAAAGCCGATTTTGAAAAATTAAAATCACATTATTTTTAAAAAGACTATGCTTTAAATTGTGGCAACTGAAAGTATTAGACATGTATATTTATCAGCAAAATTATTTTAATCTGAGGTACCTGGATATTTGGAATCCGTTAAGACTTACTAGTTAAACTTCTCATTGAAGACACATCTCCCGCTTTTGCTGTTGGGATGCCCGTCCTGACAGCTCTTTGAGATCATCTGTTCTTGTGCCTGTTGACAAGACACTTGATAATTATCTCACGGATCATGGATAATAGGACGTAAAACCTGCATCTCCTCTCAGAGCAGTTTTGTTCCCGTGATAACGTTTATTACAAGTCGTAGGGGTGGGATTGATGGAGCACATGTGCTGCCGGGGGTGGGAGCCTGCAGAGATGCCTGGAGAAGGTGTGTTTTTGCTTGTGAGGTTTTTAACACACATGAGTGTGAGATGGAAATCATGCTGCCTCTTGGGTTTACGAGATGCTTAACCCCATTTAGCTTAGGAGGATAAAAGTTCTCTTTGTTTTAGTTTTTGAACTACTATGCTCAATTTTAAATTTAAAACTTAGGAAAATTGTCTTTCCCATTTGATGAAGTGTGAACTGTGCAGACCCTCTGGCCTTTATGAATTAGCACATCTGAATCCGTGTCACTGTTCTGCCCACAGTCACCCTCCAAATATTAATCTTGGGATTTAAGCGTAGAGTATGACACTTTTATATTTAAGTTGTACTTTATGAACATTTGTTTTGAATTTTGAGTGCACAGCCTGTGTTCCCCCGATCTTAGATGGTGCGTGCTGTGCGTGCTGAGCCCCCTCCCCGTGGTGCAGCCGCGGGCCCTCAGAAGCACATGGACATGTGGTGCGTCCTCCTTCCCCATGGGCACGCCCGGTGCTCATGGGGCTGGTTCCCGCTCTGCTTCTCTGTCTGATGTGGGCCCTTGTGTCTGCAGTGGCCAAGACGGTCCTCCCTCGAGCAGCCGTGGTTGTTCAGCCAAGGACGGATGTGACTGGATTTGTGTTCAGAACGGGGACGCACCCTCCTCCTGGACACAGGCTCTTTGGAGACATGCCGACCCCAGGGCACAGGCAGAGGGGGAGCAGATGAGCCTGGAGCAGCTCCTGGTGCCGGCAAGAGCCTGGAGCAGCTCCTGGTGCCAGCAAGTAGCCACATGCTCTCAGAAGGCGGGGTGGGGGGGGCATCAGGCGGGCAGCGCAGGGGCTGGCGGGCCGACAGTGCCCCAGGCCAGGCCATGGGCGCAGGGTGAGTGGGGAAAAACAGTTCAGTTTTGCTTTGTTAAAATACCAGGCGCTGCGGGCCATCGGGTGGGCTTGCCTGCTGTTGGCAGTGGGGTCTGGATCTCAGGCGAGCTGGAGGACGTTTCAGCTTTTGTCTCAGGCTGAGACAGGAGTGGGAAGGGAGAGAGGCCGGGAGTGAGGAAGTGAGAGCCCCGTCATCCACTCCTGTGTCGTCTCTGTAGCACACCTGTGTTGTCAGTCTTGCAGCCCACTTGCAGCCCGTAAAGTGTTTCTGCCCACTTTACGGAGGGAAACAGTGAGACTCAGAAAGACCTAGGAGTGGCAGAACTGTGGCTTAACCCAGTTGAACCCAACTCCTGGAGGGATCCCTGTTGGGTATTGTGGGAGAGGGGAGGAGCTCTGCGTGGGGAGACCTGCAGGTTCGCCCTTGTGCTCTGAGCCTCCTGCTGACCGAGAACCTCCTCTCCTCTCAGGGTCACGAAACTTTGCTTCCTGGTAACGAGGTTGAGGCGGCAAGTATTGAGCCCTTGAGTCTTGTGCTAGATTTAGTTTTTAAAATGTCAGTGGGGACACTACAGGGCCTGGCAGCCCTGAGCAGGGTCCCATAGTCAGGAGACATGGAGAGGGGCCCTGTCCCTGGCAGGGCTGCCTCTGGTGGGGCGTTGGCTGGGATGATGTTTGAACCCCAGCTCTTGCCACCCTTCCCTATCGGGGAGGCCCAGAGCCCGAAGCAAGACCCGGCCAGGCCCCGTGGGTCGGCGGGGGAGCCTGGGTGGCAGATGAGGCCGCCCTCGGACCACAGCCCTCAGACCCAGGCCCCTTATAAGGGCGCTCTCAGCTTCCAGAGCCAGGTGTGAGGCAAGCTTGTCGCCCCCAGACCCCACCCAAGTTGGGTTCTGGCCCCCGGGACCTCAGCACTGGAGCGCTCAGCCTGGGGCTAGGGCTGAATCTTGTCCCTGAGGAAGGACCACATGTCCTAAACCTCCCAACAGGCTGAGGCCCCTGCAGCGGTCGTGCGGGGACACCGCAAAGCCAGCGAGTGGAGAACCAAAGGGCCTCGAGAGCCAGAGGCTTTGCAGACACGCCGCCAGGTAGCTAGCTCCTTGGTGAAAACCCCTATTAATTAGGCTGTAAATACAATTTATTTACGCAGCCCGTTGAATTCAGTGAAAGTGCCACGGGCTTTTGTTCTTTTCCTTGCCCCTACACACTACCAATGTCTCAGCTCAGGATCCACGGCAGAAAGCCTAGGCGGTGAGTTCCTGGCCAACCTGCTGTGTGCCGCGCCCTTGCTGCCTGTAGTCAGGGCACCTGTTCAAGCAAAATGGTCAGGTGCCCAATCCACTTCAGTGTTCCCTGGAGAAGGGGGCCTTCTGGGGGCCTGGCTTGCACTGGTTTCTCCCCGGGATTGCTGTGTTTTTATGTCGGGTTCTTCGGGCTGTGTGGCTGCTCAGCTGTGGTGCAGGCACTGCTTGGTGATGACCTGTGTCAGGTTTTCCTGTAGTGTTGTTGTGTGTTGAGATACACACGTGTGTGCAGAAGCTTCGGCTCAGAGATGACCTCAGCTGGACGCCCATGACAGCCGCCGCCAGCCCAGGCGAGTCTCAGGCTCCGAGCTTCCCCAAGTTTGTTTTAGAGCAGGGTGCCCAGTTAGGATTTTACCTTGATATTTGTTCTAGTTCATAAAAATGCTGACTTGTTGATAGTTTGTAGGTAAAGTTTATTTTATCTGCCTTTGGTTTCCCCTGGAAATTGCCACCCAGTCTTCTGGAATAGAGTGTTTTCCCCTCTGCCATTTAAGGAAATGCACAGGACAGTTCAATTTCTAACGGAAACTTGGAACCTACCCTCTGGACGTGTCTTTGAGCGCCGGTCTAACGGAACAGCCTGTCTCCCCGTGACGCACGCACTGCCCGGGGCTGTCTGCAGAGGCCTTGGGAATATTCTGAGCCGGGCCCTGCGCTGTTCAACCAGGCAGAGGTGGGGGTTGGAGTCCAGCATTTCCGGGACCCGAGACCGTAAATGAGGGCATCGTCGCCAGAGACAGTTTCTTCCATCCAGGGCCTCCTGGCCAAGCGGGCAGCCAGCCATCAGGCCACCGGGCCAGCGGGCGGGTGGCATCAGGACCCCGTGCTCCTCCCAGGCGCCCGGCCAAGCACTGCCTGGGCTTGAATAGTTTTCTGAGAAGGCCTTTCGTGTTTTTAGACCCAAGTTGTGTTTTTTCCAACTAGTACCAGTTGGAGGGGGTTATTTCTGCTGCGAGGGCTGTCTGAGCACATGATGAAATGAGGAGTGGTCTGCGTCTTTAGGGTTGTGCCTCCCACGTGGGGACAGGACCCTGCCCTCTGTGACCCACAAGCCACTCAGTGGCCCCTTCAGACCTCCCCTCTCACGTCACCGCGTCCTCAGTGGCCCAAACGTACATCCTCCACCTCATCATCTGAAGAACTCAAACCCTCCTCCGGGGTCCCGATTTCTGCCCCACGGTGCTTGGATACTCCAGAGCAGCTCTCTCTCTTTGCTGATTTGTTTCTGAATTTAATGAGGTTAAAACAGGTCCATTGGGTGAACCTTTTCTCCTCACCTTTTCTAGGATGCTGTTTTGAGATTGTACCTGTTCGTTGTTCACACTTAAATCAGGACAGAAATATTTATTCATTGTGGCAGCTCTTCCCCTCCAGTTAGATCAGAATGTAAACTAAAATAAACCAAATGAAGACTCTGCACACCCTTGTGAGAACCTAGCCGGCTGTGCTGGTCCCCGGCGGGTGCCCTGGAGGGAGCAGCCGGGGCTGCCTGGGGCCTGCCCAGCGTATCTGCTGTGAACTGACGTGGACCCAGCCTGTCTGGGGCTGCGCTGGGGCCCAGGACCTCAAACCCTGATTCTCAAAACACCTCGCAGTCTGTGCTTTATACATACATTCAACCAGAGACAAGGTGAGGGAAGAACAGAACTGTGAGCCCAAGTGCGGCCCCCAGGTGTGAGCACAGGTGTGAGCGGCTCCTACCTGTGCTCACACCTGTGGGGGCATCCAGTGCTGGGGGGCGGCATCCTTTCAGGGGACAGTGATGAGGGGTCCTCTGATGGGGATGGTGCTGGGGGTCCCCTGAGGGGGACAGTGCTTGGGGGTCCCCTGATGGGGATGGTGCTGGGGGTCCTCTGAGGGAGATGGTGCTGGGGGTCCTCTGATGGGGATGGTGCTGGGGGTCTTTTGGGGGGGAGGGTGCTGGAGGGTCTTGGGGGGACAACCCCAGTGGTGTCCTGTAGGGGGGCAGTCCTGAGGTAGTGATGTCGTGATATGTCTTCGTTTTCTATAAAATCCATTTGCAATTTAAATAAAACTGCCATCAGTAATTCTTTTCCTTTCTTTTGCAAATTGATGCCTCTGTAGTGTTTGTTGGAAAAGTGCTGAAGAAACTGTATCCTGAGGTTCCACGTGGCCAAGAGAAGAGGGCCCCAGTGAGTCCAGCCTGCAGAAACCCACCTGAGAAAGTGGCTCCTGAGAGAGTGAAGGGCAGGGGCATCCCCCCCATGACAGGTGAGGGCGGGTCCCTGGACATTCCCCAGGAAGCACATGCCTGGCCTCAGGCCACTGGGGTGTCACCTCAGGGGACGGGCAGGTGTCGTTCTGCTCACGCCCTGGGAGGACAGTTACTTCACTTGGGGAGGGAAGAAGCCAGCATCGGTGCCCCCAGCTGGGGACGAGGTCAAGTCCGCCATTGGTGTTGAGTTCATCTACATGCTGTTCCCGGTTGCAGAGACTGGACCCTGCTGCCTGGTCTCTCATCTGCCCTGTCACCCTGCCCCAGTCCCTGTCCATCCAGGACACGCTCCTGACGTCTCTCCTGTTTTAGTCTCCTGTCCATTGCTGTTCACAGATGTCTGTCCAAGATCCTCACACAGTGAGGTGGTCGGCCGTGGAGGCTCCTCTCACTCTGGTTCCCCATCAATGCAGCGGTGTTGCCCAGCAAGGGGCCACTAAGTGGGACACACGGAAAGAGGCCAGGCGAGGTGGGGGCAGCCCTGGCTGCAGCCCCTAGTGCCCAGGTGGACGTGAGAGGGCAGAGTTCCCAGCACCCTTTCTCAGGTCAGTTCCGTTTCTCTTTGGCAGTGGCCCCTCACGGGGCTCTGTCCTGGAGTGATTCTGTTCCTGAGCGCTGGTCTGTCCTGCTGGCCTGGCCCGGTAACCTTATGTCCACAAATCCTGACCCTCCCTGGACCAGATCTCAGCGGCAGGCCCGACAAGCCCAGGGCATGCCTGCTGCCCACAGGCTGGATCTCCAGAAATAATCGTGCCCACGCCTGTTTCACCCATGAGATGGCCAATGCCTGCGGACGAGGGGAAAGCGTTCCCCCCCAGAATGGGGGGCTGCACAAGCTTGTCCTTCAGGATGAACCTGGGGCTGCCGAGTTCCCTTTCTGTGTCCTCATGTGCCTCGGTGTGGTTGGGATGCTCTGACCCCCGTGTAGCATCCCCCCAGGACCACCACTCTCTGGCGCACCTGCTGCTGTTCTGACAGAGAGCCTGCCAGGTGTAGGGTGGACTCCCACCCCTGGAGTCACACTAAGGAATGGTGGCTACTATTTAATGCTGTTTTACCTTTCAAAGACCATACTGTCGTGGGCTGAATTGTATCCTCCGTAATTCATACGCTGGAGCCCTGACCGCAAGATGTTGACTGTGTTTGGAGACGGGGCCTTTGAAGAGGTGATTGAGTGAAACGAGGCCATTAGGGTGGGTCCTAGTCCAATGTGACTGGTGAGATCAGGAAGAGATCAGGACCCGGACACACACAGCAGGATGACTGCATGAGGACACGGGGAGAAGACAGCCATCCACACACCAAGGAGACAGGCCTCGGAAACCAGCCCTGTGACACCTCCATCTCGGACATCCAGCCTCCAGAACCAGGAGAGAAGGAACACCTGTGCTCAAGCCCCCACCTGTGATGCTGCCCAGAAAACCAACGTGACACCCATTCCACCTGCGAAGGACGCACGTGGTTTTGAATAAGCACAGCACAGCTTAGCAAGGTGGGAACCGTAGGGAAGACGTGCCGCCTACGTGAGGAGCAGGCGTCCCTGGGCGTTCCTGGTTTTCTGTCCAAGTTTGACTGAACCAATGTTTTTAGTCTTTTTAAAAGTTTTGTTTTTAGGGTTTATTTGCATTTTCTTCCCTCTTCTAACTTGACGGTTTTAACAGTGATTATTCACAATAATCTGGGTGGTGTCTTTCCACGGAAGCTCCAGGTTCAGTCATGTCATTTCAGCAGGCGGCTGTGAGGTGCTGTTGTTGTTCAGTATGAAGATGTTGAACTAAAAATCAAGATGCTGATGTAAAGTTGGTTCAGAATGTACGATTACGTGAAATGACCCGTACGGAAGGTTGAGAAGCTTGTTCCATGGAGCAGATGCCTGGTGTGAGTGGATGAGGGGGCCCTGAGCATGGGGAGCCTCCATCACGTCCGCCGGGAGCTGGGGGTGGGCCTGAGCTGTGATGGGCAGTGGGGCACCCATGGTGCTGACTGGTGATCACACCGTGGTGGCTGGTGCCAGCGGCTTTGTGGCACAGTCGGAGGATAGGACAGGATGGACACCAGTGCCCGGATGGAGTTGGCCCAGCCAGCATGGTGATGGGGCCAGAGGAGAGGTCCCACGAGGACCGCAGGTCAGGTTTCGGCCCGTGTTCTCGGTGGACCTCTCCACCCATGTGATTTCTCAGACTGCAGGCTCTGCGTGTGGTGCTCGCTGTCTAAGGCAGTGCAGTGTGCCTTGCGCAGTGTAGACTGGCCACCTGCCGTGGCCTAAACTAAGGAGGAGTGTTTAATGAGGATGTGGTGTGACCAGGGCAGTCTCACTGGGTCCTAGAGGGGCGTCCAGTTGCTGCATTTCTGCACACCCCACGCTTTCTCCCCTTCCAGAGCACCCTCTGGCCGCCAAGCATCCTGGAAGGGGGAGGGGTCTGGTGGGCAGGACCCCCACACCCTTTCTCATGGCTTCAGGCAACAAATAGAGGAGGCATTTCTGATAGTTTTAGTATTTCACAGATGCAAATGAGCCTAACTTATATGCCCTTTTCTGAAAACTCCATACAACATGCAGCAACTTTTTTTTTTTTTTTTTTTTGCGGTACACGGGCCTCTCACTGTTGTGGCCTCTTCCGTTGTGGAGCACAGGCTCCGGACGCTCAGGCTCAGCAGCCATGGCTCACAGGCCTAGCCGCTCCGCGGCATGTGGGATCTTCCCGGACCAGGGCACAAACCCGTGTCCCCTGCATCGTCAGGCGGACTCTCAACCACTGCGCCACCAGAGAAGCCCTATTTTTTAAAGATAAAATTCATTTAATCTAAAGTTTACCATAACCATTTCAAAATGTACAGTTCAGTGATTCTTAGTATACTCACAATGTTATGTAACCATCACCAATAATTCCAGAACATTCTTTTCACCCCAAAAGAAACCCATATCCATTACAGTCATCCCCATTCATGCCTCCCTGCTTTCTGTCTCTACAGATTTGTGTATTCTGGACATTTTGCCTGAGTGGAATTGCATAATAGGTGACCTTTTGTGTCTGCTTCTGTCACTTAGCATGTTTTCCAGGTTCATCTGAATTGTAACGAGTATCAGTGCTTCATTTCTTTTTGTTGCTGAATAATATTCCATTCCGTGGATATACCACATTTTGTTTATCTCTTCATTGATAGATAGATATTTGGGTTATTTCTACTTTTAGGCTTTTATCAATAACGCCACTTTGAACATCCCTGCACAAGTGCTTGTGTGGACATGTGTTTTCAGTTCTCTTGGATATAAACCTAGAAGTGGAATTGCTGGGTCATGTGGTACTCCTATGTTTAACATTTTGAGGAACAGCCAAACTGTTTTCCACAGCAGCTGCACCATTCTTCATCACACCAGCCATGCGGGGGGAGGGGGGGTCCAGTTTCTCCACACCCTTGCCAACACTTGCTATTTTCTGTTTTCTTACCCTACTAGGATAACCATCCTAGTAGATGTGAGATTGCACCTCACTGTGGTTCTGATTCCCATTTCCCTGATGACTGGTGATGTTGAGTGTCTTCTCATGTGTGTGTTGGACATTTGTGTATCTTTTTTAGAGAAATGTGTATATAAGTCCTTGGCCCATATTGTAATTGGATTGCTTGTCTTTTTGCTGCTGAGTTGTAAGAGGTGGTCATAATCTGGACACAAGAGCTTTATCAGATATATGATTTGCAAATATTTTCTCCCATTCCATGGGTTAGCCTTTCACTTCCTTGATGGTGTCTTGAAGTATAAAATATTTTAATTTTGATTAAGTCCATTATATCTATTTCTTCTTCTGTTGCCTGTGTTTTTGGTGTCATATTTAAAAAACTGTTGCCAAATCCAAGGCCACAAATTTTACATCTAAGGTTTCTTCTGAGTTTTATAGTTTTAGCTCTTACATTTAAGTAATTTATCCATTTTGAGTTAATGTTTGAATATGGTGTGAGGTAGGGTTCCAGATTCATTCCTTTGTCTGGATATCCAGTCATTCTAGCACCACTTGTTGCAGAGACTGTCCTTTCTCCACTTGGCACCCTTGTCAAAAATCAATTGGCCAGGGCTTCCCTGGTGGCGCAGTGGTTGGGAGTCCGCCTACCAATGCAGGAGACACGGGTTTGTGCCCCGGTCCGGGAAGATCCCACATGCCGCAGAGCAGCTGGGCCCGTGAGCCATGGCTGCTGAGCCTGCGTGTCCAGAGCCTGTGCTCCGCAACGGGAGAGGCCACAACAGTGAGAGGCCTGCGTACCGAAAAAAAAACAAAAACAAAAACAAAAAATATCAATTGGCCATAGATGTTTGGGTTTATTTCTGGGCTCTCAATTCTGTTCCATTGGTCTCTATGTCTGTCATTATGCCAGTACCACACTGTTTTAATTACTGTAGCTTTGTAATAAGTTTTGAAATCAGAGTTAAGAGTCTTCTAACTTCGTTGTTTTTCAAGATTGTTTTAGCTATTCGGGGTCCCTCACAATTCCATATGAATTTTAGGATCAGCTTGTCCATTTCTGGAAGGAAAAAAAAAGGGAAGTTGGAATTTTGATACAAATTGCACTGAATTTGCAGAACACTCTGAGGATTAGTGCCATCTTAACAATATTAAGTTATTCAATCCATGAATTTCGTCTAGCTTTCCATTTAAGTCATTTTTAATTTCTTTTAACAATGCTTTGTAGTTTTCATTATAAATTTTATACTTAAAAATTTATTCCAAAGTATTTTATTCTTTTTGATACTATTGTAAATGGAATTTTTTTTCTTTTTGGATTATTAATTGCTAGTATATGGGAATACTAATAAATGCTTTGACCTTGCATTCGGCAGTGGTTTCTTAAATATGGAAATATAGATTTTTGTATGTTGGTCTTGTATCCTACAACTTTGCCAAACTTAATAGCTCTAACAGTTTTTTTGTGTGTATGTGGATTTTTCAGGGTTTTCTATATACAAGATCTTATCTGTGAGAAGAGATGTTTTACTTCTTCCTGTTCAGTCTGGATGCCTTTTACTTCCTTTCTTTCTTGACTAATTGCCTTGTCTAGTACTTTCAGTATAATGTTGAAATGAAGTGGCAAGAATGTGAATTGTAATCATTCCTAATCTTAGAGGGAAGCAGCCAGGCTTTCTCAATGGAGTATAATGTCAGCCGTGTGTTTTTCATGCTTTCTCTATTGAGTGTAGTGCCAGCTGTGGGTTTTTCATGCATGCTCTTTGTCATTTGAAGTTCCCTCTAGCCCTAGTTTCTTGAGTGTTTTTTAATCCTGAAAGAGCAACATATTTTTTGAAGCAATATGTCTTGGGAATTTTGAAGAAAAAACAATTCATTTGCAGCTAGAAAAAGAGAAATCTTGGCTAAAGACAAAACAATGAAATCACAATCAAATAGACAAATACAAGTTGTGTGCAGGTCATATGAAACATTCTGTAAAGGTCATCTGAGAATTTGCTTGAAGGCTTGATGCTTGTGGAGGACGCAGTTTGGCGATAAGCAGAGCTGCAGGTGTGTCCAAGTCTTTTCAGTGTTGGAAGAAGCAGCCAAATGAGGAAAGGGGCCTTTGTCAGTCAGTCCTTGGATGAGGTTGAGAAAATGTTCTTTGTACAGTTAGGACACAGCATGGTGATTCTGATAACTATTTGTTCACTTTACAAAAGTGCATCTGTTTGTTTGTTTGTTAGTTTCAAAAGGGCATTGGTGATTCCATTTGTTCTTAAAGATGAGGGCATGATCTGTAAACGGCCACAACAATCGGTGTGTATGCATTTTGATGAATTTCCGTCACCCAAGAGCCCATGTTGGACCCTTATCTTTTGTTATTGCTTTATATCTGTATATATTTTAAAGAGCCAGGTAATCCCAGAAGAATTATAAAAAACAGCCTTGTGCCCCGAGCTCCGTGACACAAACACACCGATCGTGAAGGCTGCGGCTGTCCCAAGGGTGGCTTGGTGGCGGTGCCCTGGTGGAGGGTGCGCGTGTCTGCTTGTGGGCAGGGGGCCATGTGGACAGGCACAATGCAGGGGGAGTCAGAGGTTAGGCATGAAATCAAGCTCAAGTGGGTGTCCTGCAAATCAGACCCAGAGCCAGAAAGGGTGAGAATTATGAACCTCGGATCTCAGCCAGCTGATCAACGAGAGGAGAGCTGATTAAGTCGCCTCTTCTGAAGCCTCACGGCCAGCCCGGTGTTCCTAGGGAGAAGGTGGCCTCTGTCAGCAGTGAAGGGGGTCCTGACATGCCTTGTCCAGATCCCCAAGCCTCACCCTGCGAGCCCGATGTGTGGGCGAGGGGATGCTGTGGCCCTGCTGAGCCCCGAGCCCTAAGCAGTGAAACACAGCATCTGACTGCCGTGCAGCGATGAGCCATCTTCTACCAGAAGAGACAAGGGAAACCCGGGCCGGGAAGCTGCGCTCTGCGCCTGGCCACCCTGACACAGACAGCAGATCGCCTTCCTCAGCCTGCAGGCTTGGCCTCAGATGAGTGTGTGCTCGGCATGGGAGCAGTGGGAAGAGCTCTGCCCTCAGGTGCATCCTTGCCCTTCATAACAGGAGTCAGATCCTGCCTCGGGTGCACGGCGCCGCCTGTATTCATCCTGATACTTAAGTGAGCAGTAGTGTTTCCAAGTTCTGTTAGCTGATTAAAAGCTCCCAAAAGTATTCTGTGAAAAATGATCAAATGTTGATGTCACCCGACAGGGGATGGTCTGCCTGGAAGCAAGTCCCTGCTCTGCCCTTCATCCTGGCGGTAACGTCCCTGCTCTGCCCTTGATCCTGGCAGTAACGACACAGTCGTTAATCAACCGGATGGATCAGATTAACATAAGAACTACATTCTTGCCCCTTAGTTTCACAAAAGTGAAGTATATTGATGGCAGAAGAATTTGAAAATGTTCCAAAGCTTTTACAATTTAAATGTCTCTCAACCACACGTTCTATGTGCATTAGTGATTTTGCTCAGTCCTTGTCGTTGTTTTTAAAGTAAAATATTCATTTTTCTGAGAAAGACTAATTGGGATATCCACTTGTGTTGGATAAAGGTTACTTTGCCATATCTTGAATGAGAACATGAAGATTAGAGCGTCGATCCTGCCCAGTGTTGAGAGCATGGCAGCAGCACCGGAAGCTGCCTCTCCGGACGGTACAGCTCAGCAGGTCCACTTCCAGGAATTTGTTTGGAGGAACCCTGTGGTCAGTGGTGCAAAGTTATGTACAGTCAGGATGGTCATAGCAGCTGCTTGTAATAGTGAAAATTTAGAATCAACCTCCATGTGCAAAATTTAGGACAGTGGTTAAATTATAGTTAAATTTGCCAATAACGTGGAATATCATGTAGCCTTTAAGAGTATGTAAGATTAAATGTATCTTAATATTTTATCATATTCACTTTTGAATGATATTATACATATAATATATACATGTATAATGATGCGTGATCCCATTAAGGCATGTGTGTGTCTGTGTGTGGCGTGATCCCATTAAGACGTGTGTGTGTCTGTGTGTGGGTGTGAACAGACACACACACTGCATACATATTGTTAGCATATAGAGAGAAAAAGGTCCAGAAGGTTATGCACCAAAATGTTGAGATTCGTGTTGTGGTCGTGAGGGGTGTGTTACGTGGAGTCTTTTTATTTTCTGCTTCTTATTCATGAATTAGTTATGTTTTTATACCATATTATAAAACCCCAGAAGTTTACATAATAAGTAACAATGTGAATTTAAATAATCATAGCTCACCCCTTGTCCCTGTCTGGGTGTAGAGCTTAGTGGCTCTGCTAGCAAAATGCTTGGCTGACTGACATCAGTATTTACGGCTCTGGCTACCCATCTTCAGTGAACGTGGCTGGAGAAGCTGCTCGGCAAGTAGACGTCTGATGACATCTGTCCCTGCTTCTTCCTACAGGTGGTGACACTCGTGTCCAGCCTGCGCGACGGCTCTACACCGTGGGCCTGCCTCCTGAGGGGTGGGTTCCCCCTCCGCCGGAGGCCCCCAGCTGCTCGAGTCCTGAGAGCTCCTCCAGCGGCGAAGACATAGGAGGTAAGACCGCTGACAGCCTTCGGGGTCTTCCAGGGTCGTGACTGCATCTGAACTTTAACGGGGCTGAGCGTCTCACTGCTGTGTGGTCTGCAGTTGTCAGAGATGCCTGTAAGATCCACAGCAGGAAAAGCTCAGGGTGGGAGGAGACTTAAGGCTGGAATGTGATCACAGCCCCATTTGTTAGCAAGTTAGGGGAAGTCTGGCATTAATACATCCAAATGTGAAAGTGCTTCTCTTGTTAAGTAGGACTTTTTTTCTTAATTTTCCAATTTTTTCAAAATTTCTGAGATTGTATATCAACTTTGTAATGATGAAATAACTTATGTTGCATCTCTTGTGGAAAATTGAATGATGATATTTGCTTTTGCTGTTGGATGTTTTGTGAGTGAAGGAAGATCAAGGGTCAGGTGCTCTGGGGGGGGTGCAGAGGCTGCACGTTACATTCTTACTGTAAAAAGTCAAATGGTAGTTTTTTCCCCTTTTAATTCATCATTTCGGAACTTCCTTAAGAGGAATTTGGAATTTTCCCCAGTTGATTTTTAACAAGTAAAAACTAAGAAACTCTGTACCATAAACCTTAACTTGAATATCAAGAAAATATGATTTTCTAGTAGATTGGTCTTTCTGACTTCCTAATTGAAGCGTCAGAAACCATAAAACCAAAAATGGGATAGCTAAGCAGTAATATAGTCATCTATTCAAGCCCTGTTGAAAATCTTTGGAATATAATTATTGGATAAATAGATTATTTCATTCAGAAATTAAGCTATGTTCTTATAAAGATAAATTACTTTGGTGACATACTCCGTTGTGTACTTAGTATATTCAATGAAAAAATGCGGACTCATTCCGGGGCTGTTGCCCACAGTGAGCTCTGCTGCCCATGCCTCCCGGGCGGGTCTTTGGGCAGCATCCCAGCCGAGAACCTTCTGGGTGCCCTTGACTGAATGCATTGCCGAGCTAGAAGGACGTCCTTCCAGGAGATGGGAAAGCGTCTCAGCAGCTGGACACACGTCCCTGTGGTAGTCACTCGTCCTGGCCCTCAAGTCCCAGTGCCACCGCCTCCAGGAAGGCATGGGGGTGGCCTGGCGCCGCTCTGCTCTAGCAGGTGAGCAATGGTCAGGGCGAAGCAGAGAGATGGGGAATCGGTGCCTAGGACATATCCCTCTAATTACCATGGTAACCTGCACATCCCCGGCGACTTTCATTGTACCTTTGGCTCCAGCAGGTCCCAGGTTACATTTCTGCAGTTGCTTCTTGGCAGACCATCCTGTTCATGTCCCTCTTTCTGTCCTTTGGTTCCCGGGAGCACACAGGTTCCAAGGACCTTCTCCCAGAGGCTGTGGTCAAGGAAGGTGTGGTGGGCCACCATCTCCCTCAAAGGAGAGACTGGACTGGGAAGGAAGGTTGGGATCTCCTTGCAGGACATTAGCTCCATCCCTGAGGTCACAGGGTGACATGTCCACCTTGCTCTGCCGTTCTGACTCCAGCTTCTGCCCTGACCCCACACCTGAACCCCACTGCTGCCCCAGCCCCATGTGTGTCTGTCCCACAGCAGGCGGGCCTGGGCTCCTCAATGACCTCCCAGTGGCCACATGGCTCTCCCCCGCTGGGGACAGGTCTCAGCTTTAAGAAGTGGTCCTTTCTCTCAAGAGGCCCTGTGAGCTCAGTTCCATAAGTCAACATCACTGAAAACGTTGACCCAGGTTTTCAGAAGAGCTTTGAATAACTCCTTCATGCACTTCTGGCTGGGAAGTTGATATCTTTCTATCTTGAACACTTGTAACTCATCTCCAATGTTTCAGTTCACTTTTCTTACTGTTTCTCTAATATTTTTCCCCTTTGTGAACCCATTTGACAAGGTGGGCCGCTTCAGGGGTCTGAAGTGAGAAAGTGGAAGGAAGTGTGATGATACTGTTTAAAATGAGAGATCTGGTCTTCTCTGGTGACGCAGTGGTTAAGAATCCACCTGCCAGTGCAGGGGACACGGGTTCGAGCCCTGGCCTGGGAAGATCCCACATGCCGCGGGGCAACTAAGCCGGGGCACCACAACTACTGAGCCTGCGCTCTAGAGCCCACGAGCCACAACTACCGAGCCTGCGCGCGTAGAGCCCGTGCTCCGCAACAAGAGAAGCCACTGCAATGAGAAGCCGCGCACCACAACTAGAGAAAGCCCGTGCACAGCAACAAAGACCCAATGCAGAAATCAATCTTAATCAATCAATCTGCCAAAAAGTTTTTTAAAAACTTAAAAAATAAAATGAGAGACCCTTCAGAGAGGCGTGAGAGGCCACCGTGCTCAGCCGGGAGGCATGTGTTGGGGGTCGTTAGGGCTCGATAGGGGGCTGGGACAGGAAGAGGGACGCCTGAGCCGGGACTGGCGGGGCGTGAGGCGTGCAGACCCACAAGGCTGAGAGCGGGAGGGCTCCTCAGTCTTAGTGGTGGCACTGAAAGCAAAGAGAGCGTGAGGACTGGAGTCGGAAAAGAAGGAAAAGTCCAGAGGTGACTGTGTCCACTGTTGATGGCCATTTGAATGCCCAGCACCAATAAGCCAGTTCAGTAGTGACTCCTCAAGAAGTTGGGAATGAAGAGGCTTCCCGGTCGGCCGCCCCGTCTGCGGCCGCCGAGTCCTGCGTCCCCTCCCTCAGCCCGTGCGGGGCGGCAGGTCTGGTGGCACCCAAGGCTGACCCCTCCTCACCTCAGGGCCTGGTCCGGTCGCCCCGCCCGGTACTGCTCTCAGTGGGTGTCGTGCCTGGGCAGGGAGACTGGGGCTGATGGTGCACGGCACCCTTCCAGGTGGTCTCGGTTCTCACCCGCTGCAGGTGACGGTGACAAGTGCTGGGTCCCGGCTGAAGGAGGGTGCCGGCTGCCCACCTCCCCTCTGCCCCGGCTCCCCTGACATGGACTGAGAGCAGGAGTGACTTTTTTTTTTTTGGATAAATTTGAATTCATAATTTTTTTTAAATTTATTTTTGGCCGCGTTGGGTCTTCGTTGCTGCACACAGGCTTTCTCTAGCTGCGGTGAGCGGGAGCTGCTCTTCCTTGCGGTGCACGAGCTCTATGCGCGCAGGCTCAGTAGTTGTGGCACACGGGCTTAGTTGCTCCGCGGCATGTGAGATCTTCCCAGACCAGGGCTCGAACCCGTGTCCCCTGCATTGGCAGGCGGATTCTTAACCACTGCGCCACCAGGGAAGCCCAGGAGTAACATTTTTAAAGGCTGTGAAAATCCTTTGTGAACTCTGCAACTGTGCAAATCTAAACTGTTGTTCCAAGCATTGTCTCACGTGCTCCAGTTACAAAGAAATTCGCATTTCATATGAGGCATCTCTTCTGATTTTGATGTTGGCAGCTTCCACCTGGGTCTGCAGGGGCTCCTTCCCAGGCACACCGGGGTCTTCACACCTGCCGCCTGCCCATGGCGCTGCTCAGTCTGTCCGGGACCCTGTGCAGGGCTGACAGTCCTGTGGACGCTCCTCTGTGTGAGCTCCTGGTGACAGCACCGTGTGGGGACTGGTGCCGTCGACTCACAGGTTGACAAACTTGTCTTCTTCATACTTACACTGGACTGAGAACCCACATTGAGAACTGGGTGCAATTCTGCATTTCCCTGTTAAGACTGGTTTTCTTTTGATGTGAAACTGTTTTATTCCAATAACTGATGTGTTTTAACTGTAACTGAAATTACTCTTTCCATTTCTCTTGTGAATGTCTGGTCTTCTCCAGCAAGTCCCCCCTTTAACCTCTGTGGACCTTCATTGCTTTCCTGTCCCTTCCAGTAGGAATGGTCTGTACTTAGCCAGCCTCCTGGTCTATCGATTTTGTAACAAAATTTGTCCTTCACATTTGCATCTCTATGGCTCATTTACCATTTTCACGGGCTTCCTTCTGCCCCTTCACCTTTAATAGCTGAACCAAGAATTCAGCCTTTCAACAGAGAGCAGTAAGCCACCCACGTCCCTTTAGAAACAGAATTGTGACTATGGTCTCAGCATTTCAGCGTTGGCTCTGGCAGTGAGCCTTGAGCAGCGCTGCCCCATGTCTTGCATGCGCGTTGTTGAGAACGTAGGTGATCTTGGCGAGTGACAGGTCAGGTGCACTTACCTGGTTTGAAACCTGCTTTTCACAGCCACCACTTTCTACACCATCATCTTCTCCTCTTTTCCTTAATTAAGTATTCTTGCTAGCTGTCCTTCTCTGCCTCCCCTTTCCAGCTTTCAGTGTCTCATCTCTTATCAGCAGGCGCTTGTCCCTGGAGCCGGACCCCGTGCAGCCAAAGGTGCGTCCCTCCTCTGCGGGCACTTGCATGCTGCCGTCATAGCGGCTTTGCAGAGGTCCTTTTTTCATAATGAAAAGGCAGGAGTTCCTGCCTGCCACTGACAGCAGGTGAAGTTCTGGAACCTCTACACAGAAACTTTACATTTACACATTTTACACAGAAATAAGAACCTCAGTTTGTTTTATAAACTAAAAAACAGGCCAGCCTCTAGGAAAGAGGGCCTTTTCTTCTCTGTTACTCCAACCTTTTTTTTTTTTTCAAAGAAGAATATTTTGTTTTTCTTGACCACAGAAACACTTATTATAGAAAAGTCAAGCATTACAGAAAACGCACAGGAAGTAAAACATCACCTAAGGCCACCAGGCTGAGACCCTCAGTAAACATCTTTTGAAACCTCTCCCCTGTGCATGTTGTATATGCATGCGCAGATTTTATAAAAGTTGTACCATATTATATATACTGCCTTATAAACCACTTTCCACACTTAATGTATTATGGAGGTTTTTTCACATTTCAGTGCATATAGATATATCATTTTTTAAAAGTAGCTGAAATCTATTTTATGAAAGCAACTTGTTTATAACTAGGCTCCCCTCCCCTGCACTGAAAGACATCCAGAACTTTGCCTGGTGCTCGATAAGCACTTTGCACATGAACATCATTGTACATACATGGTACATACATGCAGTAGTCTGATTACTTCCTGAATATAAACTCTTTGAAG